AAACAAACCAAATGCCTATCTTGATCCAATTCACAAGCATGACAGAACTTTTCCTTCTCATTAACATAATGAACCTCCTTTAAGTTACTGCTTCATTCACTTTTTCCTTTCAATTATCCCTTCTTGGAGAAGGGAGAGGAAGGGGTGAGGGAAGTAAAAATTTGATATCTTTAAACAAAGTAGGGTTCCCAAGTATAGCTAATTTCCTGGCTTCTAAAGAGCAAAATGGGCTTGACCTTCAAATTTAGGTGTAAAGTGACAGGCTAAATATTGATAATTAGGAAATCACGACATGGTTTTTAGTCTTCATCAATCTGCATATGATAATTTTACAGGGAGATGTTTATGCTATAACTTTGCTTCACTAGCAATAAAAACAAGAGGTAATTTCAGCTTCTACAAAAAGTGGTCCATGTTCACATGATAAAAGTTTTATGAAGCTACCTGGGAATCAATAATTGCGTTCCTTTTTCGACAGATTAAGAAATTCAGGTGGCAAATTGTTCATTATACTGACAGAAAATCAAAGAAAAATACGGACCTATCAACGTTAAAATCTTCCTAGTTTCAAATATTTGAACTTGTGCTAATCGTATTGCTCAATGACAAATTTTCTATATAAAATCGGCTAGTAACTACACGTTATCATGAAAATGAAGGCAAAGCCTTGAGGAACCTTTGCTGGAACTTATCATTGCAATGACTTTTCTTAATAAAGATAAACTAAGAAAGAGATAAATTAATGCAACGAATCGAAGATCTGCTGAATATGTGCATGGTATAGCTTTAACAAGCAATCATGCTAAACTGCCATCTAGAGTAAAATTGTATTTAAACTTGAATACTAGGAATTATTTCAGGACTTCAATTATCCAGTATGAAATGGTGAGGGTTCAGAGTCAAAAGTGCCAAAAACTGACGTATATGGCCCTGTAGCTCTTTAGCTCATATGTGTATATTATAGCATCTTCTGTCTATGCCTGTGAGTTTTATCCATTAATAACCCTCCAGAAATGAATGATGTTCTCAAATTTCTAAGATAGGAGATGAAGGAGAAGAAGAAAGAAATAAATTAACTAGTGGCAGAATTTACTGTATGTATATTTATCCACTTTGTAAACTAGGAACATCAGAATCATTTTTGACAGAGGAAATTACAGAGTCGGTCATTTGAGGAATATGATCAAAAAGAAAAGAACAGCCCAGCAAAAAGATAGTCTACAATTTCGTTATTTGTATTGTCCATTCATTTTAATAGAGTAAGACTAATATACCAAAAAAAAAAAATGTTCAGATGCAAATAGAAGTTACCTTTCCCGTAGCATTCCGGACAGGTGAAATATGAAGTAAATTCCAAAACGGAGTCTTATCTTTTCTGAAAACAAAGTAGCAACAAAAATGTTAACATCAGGGAAATATTAAGCATCAGACCGAGAAAAAGAATTTGAAGTGCTGTTAATAATCAACCTGTAATTTAGAATACGTACTGTACATGGTTGCTCTGTTCGAATATATTCCTTTATCTGTTCAACATGAGCAAAATTACAATTTTCCCATCCTCAAAGACTTCTTTTATTTCTTTGTAGCAAAAAACGATATCTCATGAGTTACAAGTAACAGAGTCAAAATTTCGGTGACTGCTACATTATTGAAATCGTGGGAAAATCAGATAAAATAAAAAATGGAATTGGAAAGAAAATCACCTGATATTGAGTTGCAGGATCTGTATCCAGCCCACTTAAAAATCTACAATTATGCCCCAATACTTCATGTCTAGCATAGCCTATCCGAATGGGGAAATTGATGGTTAATGAATAACTATATGATTGATGAATAACTATGAACATATGTTCTTTTAAGTTAATACTAAACTAGCTGATGGCAGGAAACTTCTCATTTGAGACAAACTTCACAGAAATGATACTGGGATATATGAGTACCAGTTAATTCCAAGAACATGTCACTTGCATACACTATTGGCATGTCAGGTAAGTGCGGATCAGATCTGCAAGGTAACAGAAAGTGTTGCCAAGAAGCGATATGTTAAAAACTGTATGTTAACCTGAATTATTAACGGTAAAAATGACAAAATCCAGTTATTGAACCAACTCACAATACAAAGCTTTGTTTGATTCTACCAAGAGATATATTTAAGGATGAACCAAGTAGTCCCATCCCAGATACGGAGCAGCACTTTCCACACACCAATTTGCCAGACAACTCACTATAGCGGGTCAGGATGGACAAAATATTACTAGCAGCAGCATTGGCTTTTCGCTTCTCTAGTTCTCTTGCCTCACAAGGATCATTAATCCCTACTTCTGCAATATAAGTATTGTTTAAATTAAATCCTTTTTGGACAACATGAGCAAGAGCTTCAAGGTGCAATAGAACAATCCAAGACTTTGGTCATAGAAGAGAGAATAGTTCTTGTGGATTTAATGAATGAAACAGAAAACAAAAACGCACACGCACAAACCCACAGATTTAGTTTTCATTCTCGTGTGAAAACTACATCCATATGCCGCTTCATATTTTTCACTATAATGAAGAAAGAGCTTGCAAAGTTTTTACTCTCACGCATCTCTGTTTTATCTTACAGCAAAACGGGGCCTCAAATTCCTTTACATAGTGTAAGAAAATAAGGTGAATTAATACAGTTATGAATGTCCAACTTACACCTATACTGTGAAGGTCAATTCACGGTTGGAGGGGACGAGTGAAATATATAATTAAGCTCCACATAATCCAACAAACCCACAAATCTCTTTTATTTTTAAAAGTGAAGACGTTAGTAGAAAATATAGATACTAAGAGAACATAAGACGACTAGAATTAGCCAAAGCTATATTTAGAAACGGAATCTTGAATAAGTTTACAGGTCCATATAATGCAAACAAATAAGTGGCTGCTGGGATTTATTGACCTAAGAAACAAACAATTTCCATGTAACCTTGTCAAATGCACAAAAAATTGCAGTTGAAAGCACAAAAGTGAAAAAATAGAAACAGACCTCCATCATCAGGATTTGATACTGAATCCAGAGCCGATGCACGTCCTAGTTCCACGACCGTATCCGAGCAGACCTCCCTCCTACAACACCTGAACGCGCCTTTGTATAACTGTGCTCCATTTTCACATGAATTCACGGCAGTGTGTCCAGAATGCCTTGGCCTCTTGGGAATAGGCACTTGAACTCCCACAAAATTAATCACTCTACCATCCTCCTTACTGAAAACCGGACACATATGAAACAACATCCAAAATGGTGTCCCGTCTTTCCTGTAATTCAACAGACTAATCTGTATAGCCCTCTCCTCTCGAATTGCTTCCCGAATCTCCATAACTGACCTTCTATCAGTCTCAGGCCCTTGAAACACCCTCCCATTTCTCCCAATCACCTCATCCTTAGAGTAACCGAATATTTTCAAGAATCCATTCGAAACAAACACGATCGGGTGCCCGGAAATGCAAGGATCAGTTATAGTGAAGCTGTCAGGTAATTCATTTAGAGCTTCCCTAACCCATCCTGAGTATCTTAAGTCAAATGATTGTTCAATCAATCCCAATTGTGATTCCATATCAAATTTCTTAATTTCCCTTCAAAGATTGATTCCTTATCACCATAAAGTAAACCAAAGCCCATGTGTCACTTTCAGCTCCTCAAGCTTCAACAAATTGAAGACTGCAGCTTCAACAAATATAAACACAACCCACTAAAAATCCAATCAAGAAACAGTAAAGAATAAACAAAACACATAAAAACAAGGGTAAGAAATTGACTTTGAGAGAAAGCACATAGATTTTCTTCAAAAATTGTGAATAGAAGAAGACAAAAAAAAAGTAAAAATAAAGAAAAGTTAACTGGTGAATTAATTTCTGGAAATTAATAAATCGGTATTGGGTTTTACAAGGTACAGTTCAAAGTTCTACGTCTTAAAAGAGGAAGAAGATCATGGAGCCAAGATGTTACTGTACATGAAAATATCGGAATTGAATTCAGCTTCGTTTTGAATGAACAACAAGGGTATAACAAAGATGCCCATAAATTGGTTTTGGGAATAAAGAAAAATTTTGAAATTCTATATCAGGGGAGATAGACAGGCGCAGAGATTTTGAGTAGAATCAATTGAGGTACTTCTCAATCACAGCAAGAATGTGGCTATCAAGGCACGAGGTAGTTTTTTATTGAGAAATGCTATTCATCCCACTACGCATTCTTACTTCGTTAACGTGGTATTAAATGATAAGTGAAATTAAATAATTTCACTTATCATTTAATCAATCATTTACATCCACATAGATTGGGATGCATCCCCACTAGGGATGAATAACATTTTTCTTTTTTATTTTATTCATCCAAGCATGTTTGGATTTACTTATAAGTTGTTTTACTGAATAAGTAAATTTTAAAATAAAATAATCTTTTAACCCGTCAGAATTTAATTTATAATGAGTACTAAGAATCATTTACATTATATTGTCATGCTGTTATAATAAATTAGAAAAGAAGTAATTTATTGGGAAAATTGTAGCAGTGGTCCCCAATCTTTTTAATTTTTGCAGACTTTACTCTAGTCTTCAATTTGTACCGGCAAATGTTAGGATATCAAATCCTTAAACCTCAAACTAAAAAGGAAGGTCAATCTAACACCAACTTGTAAATAGGGTGCAAATAGATGCTATAATTACATGCTTGGTGGAGATGTAGAGTGTGTTAGAGAGGCGATTATCGAGGACGATGGAGGCATCGAGGCGGATGTACATGAATTCCTCATCATCATCAACGTTGAGATTAGGTTGTTCGACGGTCGTCGTCATGTTCTCTCTGTCGCTACTCTTAATTCTGTGGCCATTTTCTTTTCGATGGAATCTGGAAATTGCGAGCTAAGTGTGGAGATTTGGATTTTCGACTCCTTTGATTTTTCAATTTAATTTTTATCTTCTTGTGTTGTTATTTGTCAAATTCATTGAATGTGATGTGTTCATGCATGAGGCCGTCGGCTAGGGGATGAAATTCCAACAAATTGGGTGGCCAATGGTGGATGCGGCCAACGGTGGCCTATGGTTTTTTTGGTTTGATGTTGGGTGATGGGTGGAAGATGAATTTTATTTTCCTTTTTCCTTTTTTTTTATTTTTTAATTTAACTTTTAACTTATTAGGGATAATATACAAAGTTACTATTTTACTCATTTCAATTTGGTCAAAATTGGTTGAAGTTCACTTTTTTTGTTAACTAAGGATCAAATGGATGACTTCCGTCAAGTTGGATTCCAAGTACATATTTATGAAAAATTAGGGACATTCACTAATACAAATTGAAGGATAGGGTAATATTTGTAAAAATTTGAAAAAATTAGGAACCGCTGCTACAATTTTTCCTAATTTATTTTTATCTTCTAAGTAAATGCATTGTTTGAGAAAAAAAAAAAGGCTGTAGATATGTTTTTACTCAATCAAGTCGAGATTCTATACTAAATTGTTGCGGTCGGACAATTTCAATGGAAGATGAGACTCGAATCACTTTATTTCTTTTTAATTTAAGTTGATTCTCATTAATTCGACTTTATTTATAATCAATTTATTTTTGTTATGTTCATTTATTTCTTTTCAATTCCAGTTTGTCCATTGAATCAACTATAGTATAAACAAAGTTACGTCATTCTTCATTAAAAGACCGTGGTGCTCAGAGCTTCGGGTTTGATTTATGCCAATCTAATTACTTGTTTATCCTATGAAAACGTTAGTTTTTAGTTGAAATATCAAAATTATGTTCAATTCCAAACAAATATTTTACGCTCAACGTGTTTGTTTGAACATATAATATTAAGAGCCTGTTTGGTACAGATTATCATTTTCTGTAGTAAATCAATTCTCATTTTCAACCACAAATTCTTCAATAAAATAATATTTTCCATCACATCAATACTTTTTTCTTATTTTTCAACCACACATTTCCCATTATATCATTATTCAAAAATCAAATTTTCCCCCAAAAATCCCTACCAAACACACTCTAAGTAGAAATAGACCCAATCCGCTGCAAAATTCAGGATTTTACAGTTTAAAGTTTCTATGAAATCAGATGAATCTAAAAACTTATTGAACTGAGGTTGACTGGCTAACAATCTTACAGTAACCCTAGTAATTGCCATTCTCAGGTGTCCCATAAACAAAACAAACGGTTCACTTCACTTCACAAGTGCCGGTAACATGCAATATCTGGCAAAAAAAATAAATCATAAATTAGACAAAGAACCATTGAAGAGATGTGAAATGAGCATTTCAAATACTTGAGATTTGAGAATGTATTCACAACAGAATGAAGTTAGAAGTGCTATAAGCAAAGATGCACCTCGAAAAAGATACAAGTTGTCATGTTTGTTAGCAGATATCTGTCATAAAGCATCAATGAATTCTAGGAGGACTTAAGGGAGCTGAGTGGGAAAAAAATTCTTTAGAGTGATATTGAGCTCAGTGCTAGCTCTGCATCTTAGTGGCACCAGCTTCTGATAGCAATGGTCGAAGTTCTCCTTTACGGGTAACTTGACAGTATCTACAGCGTGAAAAAATAAGAAAGATGAGGATATTTCGAGTTAGAAACCATGATTAATGTATTGTTAGGTTCAATCATTCATATGATCAATGAATTTTTGTAAGTATAAATAAAGTACTACAGGACTGCAACCAGACCAGCAGATTGAATGTCTACTATTAAGAAACAACTTATATTCCCCAGTCTCAAATTGAAATTTTCTTGACTTTGCTCTGCAATTCATAAAGCACGCCAAATACAGCTTTACTTATGGTTTTCGCCTCACCTATCTATAATTACATCTCCTAATAGAGGTTTTTATACACTTAATAGTGATACTTATTACATTTAGAAGTAAGAAGTTAATTGCTGAAACTATAGCACGAGACGTTGAGAAGAGATTTTTTGTTTTTTTCTGGAGAAACTAGACTTGAAAGTTAAATTTATTATCATAAGGACGAGCACTGTCACAAAATAGTACCTGTGCAATCACCAATGTGTTTGCCACCTGCTCATGAGAAACGAATATTAGTTGTAATACTCTTCACAATCTTACAGTTATTTTTTAACAAAACCATGAAATCTCTCTATCAGCAATATGCTGTCTTTTAACCTATTACCAACGGAATGTTTTGCAACAACATATCAGGTCAATTACATCTCTTCATAATGCGATGTGCAGATCTAGCCTGTATTCAGGGCTTTTCAAGGAACATAGTTATTAGTTCGTAACTTGTTAAGCGAATAGCATAAAGTTATAGAGCAAAGTAAAATGAGTTTCATATATGTTCAACGTTCGAAATTAATGTATCGCAGAAGTGTAAACAGTTCAGAGGTCGCAAGTTCGATTCGTGGGGCTCTTAGAAGGCAGACTCTTTCCTTGAAGGCAGGATTTATCCTGGAATGCATGAATTCTCCTGGAAGGTAATGTGCAACATGTGTTGACTCACTCAACACTTTGACAGATAAGTGGAGGGAGCTCTGGGACCCTGGCCAATTTGAAGCACATTCCGTGGTTTACCTGGTTTGCGACTTGAGGGGCCAAGACGTAAACCCCAAGATTAGTCGTCGAAAGTGGAAATCTGGGTATCCAAAAATAACAATAATTATTATTATTATAAAATGAGATTAATAAGTAAATTAAAAAATTAAACTAACCCAAAGTAAAACTCATCAAGTCGAATTCTATCGTTTCTTTACATAGAGAAATGCGATAAGAGAACAAACGCAAGGGCATGTTGGTAAATAACTAAATATTCACAGTCATTTGTCACCCATTAAATGGTTGTCTATTTATAGGCTCCATCAAACATTGTCGGGTAATGACTATTTTAATAAGATATTATTTTAATAATGCAACAAATGTTGTGGCTAAGTTCGCAGCGTCACTACGCCACGACACGCTTACTATGCGTGGAAGTGGTCATATTTTGATGAACCTCGCTACACTGTGAGGCCTGGTGCCAAGGGTAGATAAACCCTATTTTGATTGATTCGAAGGTTAACGGTAACAAGTTATTTGCAACTAATTTGAACGTGTGATTTAACCATTGATTTGAAAAGTAATATCATGATCTTCACCGTTCACACATTGTCAAATTAATTGTCCGTATACATTATACAATTAGCCTAATTCAAGTTCTGGTTTGTATTTGGTAGAGATTTTTTATGATATTTTTTATTTGTTAACTTTAATTAAAAGTGAAAATTATGAAGAATATCCATTTCTCAAATGCCATCTTGAAAAATGGCAAATAATTTGATTGGTCTGCATCTGCAGCCTCTTTTAAGAAATAGACATAATGTATACAATTTGACTAAAATGCCCTTACTAAATTATTCATGATCAATATCCAAACCCCAACCCAAAAATCTCAATTTTCCGTTATCAATACTTGTTTGTCTTTGTTGTGTAAGCAATATTTTGCCCCCAACTAGTCACTGACGAACTGCTTTTTGTTATGCCTATTGTAAAGTCTATTTTGTAATTGGTAATTTTTTAAGACAAAAATTATAATTTATTAGATTTGTATTAGGATTTAATT